GCTAACCAAAAGGTCAGCAGTTCCAATCTACCAGCCGCTCCTTGGAAACCCTGTGAGGCAGTTCTACTCCCTCCTAGAGGGTCGCTATGAGTCGGAATCAACTCGACAGCAACGGCTTTTTTGTTCAAAGCTAAATACATGCATACCAAATGATCAAGCAATTCCACTTCTAAGTGCTTATATTCAACAAAAGGCATGCACAAGAAAGTTCAGGGCAGGACTATTTATAAAATAGTCAAATGTCCATCAACATCTGTGGATATATAAATTGTGGAATATTTCTATAGTGAAATATTGTACAGCAATGAGAAGAAAGACAACAACAAATAACAACATGGATAAGACTCACAATGTAAAACAGAAGTCAGATGCAAAGAGTGAATATTTTATGATTTCATTTATATATTGTTCAAACCAGTCAGCCCTGATCTCTGGTGTCAGGATAGAGAGATTAACCTGGAGTGGCAGATGGATGTGGTTAGTAGCTGGGAGGTGGTACAAGCAGGGGCTGGAATTATCTTGTTTGTTGACCTAGGAGCTTGGTACATGGGTGTGTTCAGTTTGTAAAAACTCCTTAAGCTATACATTCAAATTTTGTATATTTTCCTGAATGTATATTATATTATTTTTAAAAAAGAGAAGTTCAGATGCCTTCAAATATTTAAAAGTTTGAAAACAAAGGCTTCCAGAAAATAAGAATGAGACCAAGAGATAAAATTATAAGAAAGTACTGTTCGGCAATCACTGCAGTCTGTAAATAAAAATGAGCTCTTGTAGGAACTGGTAGATTTTCCATCTCTATTAAAGCTGAGGCTGGTCGTCAGCTGTCAGTGGGTCTGTTGAGGAATTCAAGTGGACTGGACCATAAGACCATTGAAGATTTGACAAGCCCCAAATAAAATGCAAAAAAAATAAATTATAAGTGATAATAACTTTTCATATATCACTTGAGTAAGATTTAGCCAATACATTGTACACATACAAATTTGTCAGTTACTATGTTACATATTTTTAAATATGTTATCTCCTGGGGTTGTGGTTGTTACTCCTAAGCTACAAATAAAAAACTTGAAGGACAAAGAGAGTAAGGTAATGTCGCAGTATCTTAAAATGACAAAATTGTGATCTGAACTTCAAACTTATCCCTCCCTCTATATATAAAAAAGTAACAATAACAACAAAAACACTTTTAAGTTGAACATAGAAGTACACTAAAAAATACATTTATAACATACTGCGTCCTCTCTTTATGTGATTAAAATCTTCTTACTTTGTTTCATGTAATGTTCTTTTCCTAAACCGAAGAAATGCCATCTTTGGATCTGGAAGGATACAAGCACTTTGTTTCTCATTGGTTAAATTTTGTTCTGGATCACTGATTACAGCCCTATGTAGGAAAATACAAAGTCTGAGCATTAAATGTGATAATGTGTTGCTCTAGCATTCACATATTTATAAGCAGTTGGAAAGGCACATATACTAAACACAAATTTACACTACTGCCAGAATCATATTTTTGTCAGATATGAATAAATTAAATCACTAAAAATACTGGCCATAAAAAAGTGAATATCTAGCTGGCTATTTTCCCATAAGTATGACCTACAAATCAATTGAAATCTTGGGGAGAGTTAAGAGCTTCATGTCTTTATTTTACGATTCTGGAAACAAAAAGATGCTTTACTGGTTTCTGATTCTATAGGGGAAAAACAAAACACGGATCAAGTAAACTAAGGATATAAAGTGATAAGTAACACAATAGAAATGTAATGGGAGAATGTAGAAGAGGATGCACTTAAGCCCTGGAAAAGAAGAAATAGAGAAGAGTTCATTAAAGGCATCCTAGAAAAGGTGATACTGCATTGACTCTTGAAAGGTGAGGTGAAGTTAGCAGTCAGAGCAGCAGTAAGGGTATCTCAGGCAGAGGAACAATATACACAAGGGCACAGATGTTGGACAGTAACAGTACAGTTGAGGAACTGCACACAGTGTAATGGATTAGAGTACAGACTCTGGAACAGTCGGCTTGGGTTCAAACCTTGCCTCTGCCAGTTAGCTGTGTGGCATTATGCAAGTCACTTAACTAGGCCTCAGTGTCCTCATTTATA